ACACACACACCATTGGTATGTGGGACAATGGTATGTACCCTGTCACTTGTATTTTAAATAAACACTGATTGGCCAGTAGCCAGGCAGGAAGTATAGGCGGGGCAACAAGAATTCTGGGAAGAGGGAAGTTGCAGTCTGTAGTCGTCACCCAGACACAGAGCAAACAAGATGTGACTGCCTCACCGGAAAAGGTACCAAGCCACGTGGCTAACACAGACAAGAATTATGGGCTAATAAGTTATAAGAGTTAATAAGAAGCCTGAGATACAAGGCTAACCAGTTTATAATTAATGTAGACATCTGTGTGATTTCTTTGGGACTTAATGACCGTGGAAACCAGGCAGGACAGAAACCTCAGTCAACCCATGGGCACAGCTTTGGGAGCTGGTTCTTCCTTTCTACCATGGGTACCAGAGACTAACTCAAGTTGTCAGGCTTGTGCGACAAGTGAGTTTTACCTGCTGAGTCATGTCACCAGCTCATTTTTCTCTTTTAAAATAAAAACATTGCACATAGTTAGCAAAGGCAAATGCTAACAATAATCAATATGTAAACTTCGTATCTCTCCTGTTTCTTGACTGAGAAACAACTGCCTGTACATCCATTTTACAAATCTTTTAAGAAATATCATTCATCAATGTCTTCTCTACTTGGAGACAAGGTCTCTGGATATTGCTCATGCTGGCTTCAAGCTTTCAATCCTCCTGTCTCAGCTTCCACAGTGGTTGAGATTGTACATGATGTGCATCTTGTCTGGCTCTTCTTTCTTTTTTAATGAAACAATCAAATGATTATTCTATATTTGTGTGTATATATGTGGACATGATTCACTTATTTTTATGTGCATTGGAGTTTTCCTGAATATCATGTCTGCACATTTGCAGTGTCCTGGGAAGCCAGAAAAGGTACACGACCTTCTGGAACTAGAGTAACTGAAAGCCGTCAGTTGTCATGTGGGTGCTAGGAATCAAACCCAGGTCCTCTGGAAGAGCAGCCAGTACTCTTATCCACAGAGGCATCTCTCCAGCCTAGAATGTTTTAGAGGAGAGTACTGTGTGGAGTCTGCCATAACCCACTGTTCCTGAATTTCATTTATTTATTTATTTTTGCATTTACTTATACAGGGGCAACTGTGTACACTGGGCAAGCCATTACAGTCTTTCATTACATAAAAACAGGGAAGTTAGAAGGCTATATTTTCATTTTAAGGAATACTTCTTTACTTACTTATATGAATTAACAGCGGAGCAGGGACTTCCGAAGCAGGCAGAATTACTATGCCAGCGTATTGAATAGTAGCTGTTTCTTATGCCTTTCCCTTCCCAGAGCTCTGGGCAGGCAGGGTGTTCAGAGAGCTAACATAGAGCCAGTCACACAGGGCCCAGTTGTCACGGGCACACTGTGTCAGAAATACAAATGAACACACTCATGTCTTTGCACAATATCAAAAGTCACTGAAAAACAACAAAATCACAAGGCTTATCAGTTCTACTGGGAGCCATTTGCCAGGGATTCTCAAGTTCCTCCATTGACAGCTGAAGCAAACGTGGGCTCTTTTATTTAAATTTTAATTACAGATATTAATTCTCAGACCACACATTACTTACACATCACACAGTAACCCCTCCTCCAAGGGTGTATGTAGGTTACAGAATGCCTACAAAGGGTTAAAGTAGCTACACCAAAGTACTAGAGTCTCAAAGAGGCCAGGCCGAGCATCTGTGGAGGGCCAGGGGTGGTAGTGGGCCAAGCAGATAACTAACCTGTTAGAGATATGTCCGAGCTGCTGAGTCAGGCTGAGTCGGGGCAGCTGCTGGGGTCAAAGTTGAGTTGAGCCTCAGGGTCAGCTGCAGAAATGCAGTGTCGGACCATGGAGGCCACAGAGGTGAAGGAAAGGTCAGATCCAGACAGCGGAATGAACAGTCAGAAATTAGTCTGTGGCATCTGTGGAGACCAGGCCAGCTAAGTCCCTTGGACAGTAGGGAGTCACACACCAGGAAGTCAGATGAGGGGTGGGTGGGCAAAGCATTGACCATACTCTGTTTTTTTTTTTTTTCCCTTTCTCTTTTGAGACACGGATTCTCTGTTTAGTTCTGGGTGTGCAGGAACTGTACGTGTAGACCAGGCTAGCCTTGAACTCACAGAGATGTGCCTGCCTCCTGGGAGCTGGGGTTAAAGGCTTGTTAGATGTCCTCTTCACGGGTCCAGGTGAAGGTGTTCTCTCCTTTTCTTAGCCTGTGGTGCATATAAGTTCTCAGACTTGTTTTCATCCTTTTTTAGTGTGTATGTAAGATGTGTGTGTATGTAAATATTCGTATTTATGTGAGTGCAGGTGTGTGCCTGCCAGAGCAAATTCATCAATGCCAGAGAACTTCCCTTCTGGCATGGGCCCTCACCTCCACCTGTTTGAGACAGTCTCTCATTTGCTGCTGTATATCCCAGGCTAGCTGGCCTGGAAGCTTCTGGAGAGTCCCATCTTGCCTCCCATCATACCCTAGGGACACTGGGAAAAGCACAAACACTCCTGTGTGTGGCTTTATGTGGGTTTTGTGGGCCCAAGCTCAGCTCCTCACATTCACAAGTCATGCACTTTAACCAATGAGCTACCTTTCCCAGTCCCTGATAGGATTTGACTGTGGTCATATGGCCCTGCGATTCTAGTTTCATTGATAAATTTGGAGGGTGGCATCTGTTCTGTGTTCAGGAATAAGTCATTCATCAGCAGGTGCCTTGTGGGGATGCCGGACTGGACAGATGGTACTGATATGTCCAAGATGCAGAATCCACCTGCTTCTATCTCTATTCTCAAAATGGAGTTAATGGCTACTTGTAAAATGGAGTCTCTCAGGGCAAGGCACAGCATGAAAAACCTGTTTTGCATAATATGGGATAATTTAGGGCAGGGCACAGCCCCCTCTCAACACCAGTGGTGTAGGAATTCACATTGAGCCCAGATCTAATAGTATAAAGAACGTTTCAATTAAGGCTTGATGTTTCCTTGTGGAAGTAACATGAAGCATATAGGAATCATTCAGATTACAATGACGTGGCTTGTTTGAACTAATGGAAACATACATGAAATGTAATTTCTCCAGTGTCGTGCACTGAGCACCTAATATCCTCACCTTATCTATCTCATTTAACATTCATATCACCCTGCTGATATAAGTATCCTTATCTTCATTTCACGCATGGTCAACTGACGTTCAAAGGTTAAGGGACTTATTACATATCACTTGGCAAATAAGTTGTGCAGCCAGCTTCACACGGAGGAGGAAGAGTCCAACAGCCATTTTGGACAGTCTGAACTTCTGTACGCCGGCATTCCAGGAATGTACCACTAAGCCTGGTTTATTTGATTTGGGCTTCATGCATGTGAACACTTAGCAACTAAGCTGTATTTGCAGCCAGGGTTTTGGAGATTGTGTGTGTGTGTGTGTGTGTGTGTGCGCGCGCACACACACACACAATGGTTTCCTATAGCCCAGGCTTACCCCAAACCCTAATTCAGCGTGTAGCCCAGGCTGTCCTTGAACTCCTGATCCTTCTGCCTACAACTCTCAAGTGCTGGGATCAGAGGCATGTGCTACCATTCCGAGTTTTAGAGTTTAAACGTTTAGAGTTTGAGCTAGGGATGCTTTGGGGGAAATGGACAGAATCTGGGCTTACTGGGGCAGGGAAGAATAGTGTAGAAGGCTGCGGTGACAGTCCGGATGCTGGAGATGGGAGTGACTTAAGCCTTTGTCCTGCCCACGCTTCCATTTCTAGAGGATCTCCAGCAAGTTCCAGCCACATTTGCCACAAACCTCTGTGACTCCTCTCTAAAACGGGTTGATAAACTGAGAATGAGAAACCTCCAGATTCTTCCAAACTCACATCCTGCCTAATGCTTTTAAATTTTAATGCATGCCGGGGATTTATATATCAAGGCCCTAGATACCATCCTGAACCGAGATGAGCACTCAGGTGTAATAATTCTCTGCATAATCCTCTTCTCAGAGTACAATAAAATAAACAGGATTATTTTTAAGAATGTCTTTAAACCAGATTATACTGAGACAAACCCATCATCTCTGCATCTTTCTGTACACTTTGTTTAAGAAAATGATTTGGGTATAGCTGTTGCCATAGTGGCTAATGGTATTACAATCAACTAAGAATATTACACTCTAAACAAATGAAATGATTTAAACCTATCTTGCCAAGAAATATTGTAAAAATATACTTAGGAAACATAAACTGCATTGTCACCAAATTAATTTGTTTTCTATGCTCAAATTTAATTTAAAAAGAGATATTTCTCTAACTGCTTCCAACAGCAGACTGTAAAGGGACTTTGAAGAGAGAACGCAGGAAATAAATATAGTAATATTCAAGTAAATAACCAACACAGTATCTATTCTGTTGCTTGTGATGTTTTTAGAAAGTATTTTTTAACAACTTCCTGATGGATTTGCTCTTACTGGTGTGAAGCCAGGCTGGTGGCTGGCTCTCACCTGCTAACTTTTTTTCTCTTTCATCAGTGTGTTCTGAGATAAATCTATCCATTACCAAGACCTGCTAGATACCGGGTTTCTCCTATCTGGCCTTCATTTTTACTGACCAGAGGTTGGGGTTTCTATTCCTGGCTTGCTGAAAGAGCCTTTTCCTTAGTATAACCCAGAGGGCAGCAGCACATCTTCCTGAAATAAGGCTTTCATCTGGCCACTTCTCTTGTTAAAGCTTCAGGGATCCCATTTTTGACAGCCCAGCAGGGACACAGGTCATGGAACTCCCATTGTTTCAGCGGGCGAATGCATTAGCTTTCTTCGCCTCGCTAACCTGCTACTTGGACTCCTTTGCCCGCCCTTTCTGCCAACTCACCGCCAACCCCGCTTTCCATTCTGTATTGAATTCACTTCCTTCAGGATGTTTTCCTCACTTAGTAGCTACTTAGCCGATAAATAAGTCTTGTTTTTGAGCTTTTAATCACATTAAGTGCTTTAAAAAATAAATCGAGTCTAGGGATAAACAGCTTACAGAGATTTTCATTCTCTAAGAACCATCGAGGGTGACTTTGTCAAGAGAGAACTCAAATTTGCAAGCGGCTGTGTTTTCCTAAGTATCTACCCTAGAACCAGAGCAAATGACTCTTTATGGTGACCTCTAGCGGACACGGGGCAGTCCTACAAAATTACGAAAAGTAGAGAGCAAAGTAAAACCCTTCCTCAAGGTACTCCGTGGTCATAGGACGGAATCCTACCCCTCCACCCTTACATATTTTTTTCTTCCAGTGTTTGTTTTGCATCCTAACATCATCTCCATTACATACGACTCACGTGTTTCTTGCCTTTGACGGGCTGGGCTGCCGGTGTCAGATGTGTGAACTGCTGTTTGAAATAATGTCTGACAAGTCGAACCCCACTCCCCTTGGCTTTGCAGAGTGTGGTTGGCTTCACCAGGCTTTAAGACCGTCTTTGCTTTTGGAGGGTCGGTGCCGCAGTCGCACGAGGGTGCAAGGGGGGAGGGGAGGACCGGACACCGAGACAGCAAGACCGATGCAATGAGACATTCTGGGTTTTGCCAGTGAAAGATTCTCTCCGGACTGCCACCCCACTCCACGAGAGGCATCGTGAGAGCGATGTAGGCGCCCTTTCAGGGCTTGAGGCTGGAAAAGAGAAGGAAGCCGGGGCGGGTCCGCCGGCCCCTGGAGTCGCGCGCGGAGCGGGTGGGGGTTGAGGGGCTGGGTGCGCGGCCGCCTTCGGAGCGCACCGCACGTGGGGCGCCCCACGCGCGGAAAGGAAGCGCAAAGTCGGCAAGCAAAGCCGCGACTAGGTTGCTTGCTTTGAGAAATCCTTTAGAGCGGCCTTAGAAGCCGACCCGGGTACCGAACAGTCTCTGGCAATGGCTCATCCAGACGCCGTCTGCTCCCTACTTCCAATCCCTCACCTTGGTCCTCACTTCTGCACCCCTCCTTCCCGCACCTCCTTTCAAGGACGGTTTAAAGGAACCTGGGAGAGGTGTGCAGGTCATCCCGATGGCCCCAGGGCTCCCCGCAGCCAGCATCACGCCCCACGCAGCCCTCCCGGCCACTGCGGGCGGGGGCGCACGGCGTCACGAGGCGGGGAGCCCGAGGTCCGGGGCGGGGCGCCGGGGAATCCCAGCCCGAGCGAGCCGGGAGGTGCGGGCGGGCGCGGGCAGGCAGGAGGTGCGCGCGGAGGGAGCAGAGGAGCGCGCGGAGCCGGCGGGCGAGGAGGAGGACGGCGAGGGAGGACGGTGAGGGAGGCCCCGCCCCCGGCTCCCGGAGCCCGCTCCTCGCCGCCGCTGAGCCCGCTCACTTTGCCTCTCGCCTCTGGACGGCTGCCGGGCTGCGTGCATCGGGGACCGGGGAGCCCTGCCCACGGCGCCTTGGCTACCGCGCGCCCTCCGGGAGGCCGGCACCGCCTGGAGCCGCGGACACCCACCGGGACTCTCGAAGAGCGAACCCAGGAGCGCGGGGCGGCGGCAGTGACACCGCGGGGGGGATCCAGGCGGCGCGGGGCGCAAGCCCCTGGGGAGCGCGGGCCCCGACGGCGCGGCCACCCCGTGCGCTCGGTGGGCAGGCCCCCGGGGCGGCCAGCCATGACCTTCGGGCGCGGTGGGGCGGCCTCGGTGGTGCTGAACGTGGGCGGCGCCCGGTACTCGCTGTCCCGGGAGCTGCTCAAGGACTTCCCGCTGCGCCGTGTGAGCCGGCTGCACGGCTGCCGCTCGGAGCGCGACGTGCTCGAAGTGTGCGACGACTACGACCGGGAGCGCAACGAGTACTTCTTCGACCGGCACTCGGAGGCCTTCGGCTTCATCCTGCTGTACGTGCGCGGCCACGGGAAGCTGCGCTTCGCGCCGCGGATGTGCGAGCTCTCCTTTTACAACGAGATGATCTACTGGGGCCTGGAGGGCGCGCACCTGGAGTACTGCTGCCAGCGCCGCCTAGACGACCGCATGTCCGACACCCACACCTTCCACGCGGCAGACGAGCTGGGCCGCGAGCAGGCTCGCCCGGCCGGGTCCGAGGCGGCTCCCTCCCGGCGCTGGCTGGAGCGCATGCGGCGCACCTTCGAGGAGCCCACGTCGTCGCTGGCCGCGCAGATTCTGGCTAGCGTGTCCGTGGTGTTTGTGATCGTGTCCATGGTGGTGCTGTGCGCCAGCACGCTGCCCGACTGGCGCGCAGCGGCCGCCGCCGACAACCGCAGCCTGGATGACCGGAGCAGGTACTCCGCCGGCCCTGGGAGGGAGCCCTCCGGGTAGGACGCACTGCTACTCTGCCCGTCCAGTCCGTCCCGTCCCGTCCGTTCGTCCGTCCGTGCCGTCCGTGCCGTCCAGTCTCCGTCCTGTCTGCCTGGTGGCCCTGCCAGGCTTGTTCCTGCCCCAGGAGACCCCTGGCGCTCCAACCCAGTGATGTGTGGGTCCCCAACCCCGCCCCTCTTTCCCAGGCACAGCCAGGGTGTGCGTGGACCTCACCTTTTAGGGTAAAATCCCCAGGCTTTGTAGTTTAATTCTAAGCAAACAGCAATCTTCTAACTAGATTCCCCGAACTTTTATTACTAATATGCAATAATTTACGCGATAATTCATTTTGAGCTAAGAGCACTTTGAAATATGTGCCAATACGGGTGGTGTTTGAAAAGATGATGTCTCGTTCCGTAGAAATGTGGTCTGCTGTACTGCCCATATATTCTGCACACCCTTGGCATAAAGTGTGCTGGGATGGAATTGCCGAATTCTGAAGGAGGCTAATTGAGCTTTAGACTCTGAATAATGGATGTCCGTGCCCTTTTCCTCCCTTCTTTCCGACCAAGTTATGGGCCTAGCAAATTCCTGTCCACTGTGTGGTATTAAAGATTTACGGTTTCATTCAAAGGGTCTTCAGTGTGGGTAAGAAAACAAAAATAGCCATTACCCTGGGAGAGAAGAAAAACCGAAACTTCCCCAAACCCAGAAGCAGGATTCGGTAGTTAAGTGTCTCCTCCACCCCCACCCTCCCTTACTAGGATGAAAGGAAAATACTTGAATCTTTCCTGGGTTCGTACTTACCTCTTAATGGCGATAACACGTTTCTGTTTTTAGAACAAGTGAGTTTATTTTGCATATTTGGTGGGAGGAATAAGCAGACTAAAGTTGGACTTTCAGAGGAGACGGCCATTTTGGGCATAAAACCCAAACTGTGCAATCTTTTTTACCCTTTGTTGAGAGTTCTTTGAAGGTTTCCCCCTCTCCAGTCACTTTCTGTTTTAATTTTTTCTTTCTCCATTCACTCTGAAGTCCAGGTCGCACCCCGGAGTCTTCCTGATGGGCCTGGGTGTGCTAGAGACCCTGGTGTTTGTTGGTCCAGCAGTGGATAGCTTCTGGAGAATACTCTTCCTCTAGGGAGTGGAGCTTTCCGTATGTATCTTAGGGGTAACTACAAGAAGCTAGTAGCAGAGACCATGACCAGCATGCCACCTGGGTGTGAAATCCAAGATCGATGCTTGGAAAAGAAGTAAATCAGGAAACTCATTATAATGTTTTGTGTGTGTGGTTCTGTTTTCACGTCACAGATAGGAATTATTTCCTTGGTGCCCCCAAAAGACAATGAAATTAACTTCTTTGAATATATAAAGTGACCTTGATTTTTTTTTTGTGTTGTGGGAGGTCATAAAAAATGAGCCCTGAGTTGACCGGCTTTGAAATGATTCATCAACAGATACAGAATTCGAAGGTTAGTGATGGACCGAGCTCATTAGCAAAGCAAACAGGAGGGTTGTCTGATAAATACAGAGTTTGAGGGAGTTGGACTACATCGAGAGAAGTAAGCAAGAACAGGGAACTCAGTGAGTGATTACTTTTTTTTTCTTTTTGAAGGAAGGAGGGAGTTTGGGGAGAAAGATCATTCATGTAAAGCATTAGACTGAATACTGACTTTAGATAAAAAGAGAAACCAGGAACGGAGGCGGCAGAGATGGGGGAGGGGGCTGCAAAGGCAGGGAGAAAGATAGAGTAAGGCTTACTTGTGTATACGTATCTCAAGTACGTATATCATTATTCCAGTCAAGCTGTTTCCTAGATACACAGATATTTCAGGCAAATGCATGTTTTTCTTGCCTTAATGGCCCAGTTTCAAGGTTTTCCCTATGAGTGTAGGTATAAGAAAGCCAGTGTCTGTAATCCCAGATCACACGGATGAGGATGTCGCACATGGCGCAGGAAACCTCTGCTGGCATTTTATAGTCTCTCGGTCCCTGCCAGCCTGTGGCAGCTACCACAAGGCTACATCCTTCTGCTCCTTTCACCAGGAATCCACTAAGTAAAGCCAAAGTCTCCTCCTTCCCCCAGGAGATGTGCCATTAACTGTAACCAGCTAGGCAAGTGTCCGCTACTTATTTATGGCGCGGCCTCACAGCTCACCAATCTTGTGTCTCATCACAATCTGTCACTTTTGAGTGTCCCACTTGCTCACGGGCTGCAGCTGTGACTTCCAAATACTGTAACTTTCTTGTGAAGAAAAGTTGATGCAGAACTCAGAGGCACAATGGGTTTCCAAGAGTTGAGTTATTCTGAGAAAGCCTTCAAGGTCACGGAGGGTGGAAACAAGCCATCCTCGAAAGGTTGTGCACTGTCCGACACTGGCAGGGGGAGTGTCACTTATATAAACTGGTTTATGCAACCTGCACCATCCTGTGTCTTGCTTGAGAACAAAATAGAGTTTTCCAGCAAAAGGAACAGCGTGGGCAGAGGCATGAAACTTGTATGTTATGTTTAGGGAGTGAGAATCCAGTGATGATCGCATGAGGTGGCTCGAGAGTATGTTTGAATAATGTGAAGAACTCTACTTTGCAGCCATGGCTACCTCTCGGTTGGTTTGTGTCATCTGTGCCGAGGCCTTACCCGTAGAAAGTAGAGAATGTGTTAAGTATGTACCGTGGTTGGAGAGGGAGGAGATTGGACCCAGGAAAGATGACTAGGCGTGGAGGCAAACAGCTGTCGTTCTTCCACTCGCGTTCAGTGCAGAAGGGTCAGGAGCTGGATCCATCATAGGGAGACCCGAGCTACATCACAGTAAGACCCTGTCCCCCAAAAGGAGCAGGGGGCTGGGGGATGTTAGTTCAGTTGTACAAAAGCCCCTGGGTTCGATCCCCAACCCTGCAAAAACAAAAAAGAGTTCGGAAGACTTTGCTAGGGGTTCAAGAGCTTGTGAGAATAGAGACCAAATAACAACTCTGGTCTATACGAGGAAGAAGTGAGATTCTTCAGAGCAGTGTAAAGATGGAAGCCCCAGGCCAGGCCGATTCCGGGAGCTGGGGACACTCAGTACCTCTTTTCTGTCGAGTCTGTCCTGATCATTTGTCCCCAAGATGCCTCCGTGCCCCTCACAATGCAGTTGGCAACCCTATGGGATGATCATTCAGGCTCAACTTAGGTTCTCTTCAAAGCCTTTATGGGGAGATGTTCCCTCCCAACCCTGAGAGGTTGCTAGTTTGTGCTGGTCATATGCCATTTGTCACGACCTTCCTCGTAAACACATTGTAGCTCCTATGCTAGATTTGAAGAAAAGTCCTTGAAGGCAGGTAAACTCATTCATATCCCCCCACCACCACTTTTAAAAAAGATTTATTTATTTAATGTGCACTGGTGTTCCGACTGTGTATACTCTGTGAGAGGGTGTCAGATCCCTGGAACTGGCGTTACAGACAGTTGTGAGCTGTCATGTGGGTACTGGGAATTGAAACAGGATCCTCTGGAAGAATAGCCAGTGCTCTTATCCACTGAGCCATCTCTCCAGCCCCCCTCCCCCTGCCATCTTATTTTCGAGACAATCTTATGTTGCTCAAACCAACAATTTTCCTGATTCAACCTCCTTAGTCCTGAGATCACAGGTGTGTAACATGCCAGCTCTGAACATGCTTTCCCCTTCCTTAGGGGGCTTGGGGTAGCTGGATATTGAGACAGCATCTCGTGTGGCCCAGGGTGGCTTGAGATTCGATTGTGTCCAAGGATAAGGTGGGAATTGAACCTGGGTCCTCTGAAAGAACAGCAGTGAGTGCTCTTAACCACTGAGCCATCTCTTCGGGCACGGAAGTTTGTCTTTTTTGTTGTTTTTATTTTTTGTTTTATGTATTTTCTTTTATGCATGTTTTGCCTTCACGTATGTCTGTGCACCATATGCATGCCTGGTGCCTGTGGAAGTCAGAAAAGGACATGGGATCCCTAGTATTGAACCTATGGGTGTTTATGAGCTATCAGGTGGATTCTGGGAATCCAAACCAGGTCCTCTGTAAGAACAAGTGCTCTTAACCACTAAGCCATCTCTCCAGCCCCCTGGAGGTTTTCAAAAGAACATATATGTTCTGATGTTTTTGACTTTATATATATCTGTGATTAAGCCCAGGGGCCTCATGCATGTTGCCAAGTACCTGCTAAGCCATGTCCCCAGCTCTTTAGGGATCAACAACAGACAGATGCTCTAAGACCTGTCAGGAAGGAAGGTGAGCCTCTGCCTAGGAACACTGTTCTGGAGAAGGTGAGAAGGGATTGGACTTGGATCAGTGATGCATTTTTTTACAACATCTCCTAGGCCAGGTGTATCAGCTTTCCATCACTGAGAAAATACCCAACAGGAGCAACTTGCAAGGAAGGATGGTTTTTTTTTGACTTATGGCTCCTAGGGTTCAATCCATGGTCTTTTGATCCTGTTGCTTTGGGGCAATGGCAGTGCAGCCCATCTTGGCTGGAGCACAAGGCATGGGACACTGCACACTCCGTGTCCAGGAAGCAAAGTAGGAAGGACCCAGAGTCCCAACAGCCCATTCCAGTATCCTACCCCAGGGGCCTAATTCCTTTCTCATGGCTCCACCTCCTAACTCTTGTCAAGAGTATCACTGGCCAGTCCATCTTACCTGGCCTTGGGGACCTTCATAATGTAAGGGTTCCCTGGACTAGGAAGGAATCAGATGTGACTGGGTGAAGATGTCCTCAGACCTGCAGGCATCGTGGTGCCTCCGGTCTGACCACTTCAGCCCACACATACTGAGCACCGAATACAGTTCTTTTCTATGGGGTCTGCTTCCTCTTTGGGGATATCATGAGGAGGACCCCAGAAGGTGGATCAGAAAATCAGAATCAGAGAGCGTTTCCTTTGCTGTATGACTGAAGCCAACTCGGGAGAGGGCTATGACATCATCTTAGCAAAGCTGTGTGGTGTGAGCGCTCACAGGCCCCCAGATGAACAAATGGA